CCTAATCGGATATCGTATATTTCTTTCTTTCTCTTTTTCTTTTATTATTTATTTATTTATTATTTATTATTTATTTATTATTTATTTTTGAGCGGAGTCTCGCTCTGTCGCCCAGGCTGGAGTGCAGGTGGCCGGATCTCGGCTCACCGCAAGCTCCGCCCTCCCGGGTTCACGCCATTCTCCTGCCTCAGCCTCCGAGTAGCTGGGACTACAGGCGCCCGCCACCTCGCCCGGCCTAGTTTTTTTTTTGTATTTTTAGTAGAGAGGGTTCCCGTGTTAGCCAGGATGGTCTCGATCTCTTGACCTCGTGATCCACCCGTCTCGGCCTCCCAAAGTGCTGGGATTACAGGCTTGAGCCACCACGCCCGGCCTCTTTCTTTCTTTTTAGAGACAGAGTGTCTCTCTGCTGCTCAGGCTGGAGCGCAGTGGTGCGATCACAGCTCACTGTAGCCTCGACTTCCTGGGCTCCAGTGACCCTCTCGCCTGAAACCGTACTCCCCCTCAAGCAGCTGAGACTACAGGTATGTACCACCACACCCAGCTAATTTTTATTTTTTGTGGAGACAGGATCTTGCTTTGTTGCCCAGGCTGGTCTTGAATTCCTGGCCTCACGCAACCCTCCCACCTCTGCCTCCCAATGCACTGGGAGCCACTGTGCCCAGCCCTGTATTTCTATTACAAGTGATGTTTTAGCATCATTCTGTGAAGCCCAGGGAACAGATTCTGTATGATTTCAGTCATGTGAAAGTTGTTCAGACTTGCTTTGTTGTCCAGCATACATCAATTTTATAAATGTTCCAAATACACTTGAAAAGGAAATGTTTTCTGTGGTTGTTGGTGGGAGTGTTCCTCTTGTCAATTGTGTCGAGTTTATTAACCTTGTTCAAGCCTTCTGTATTGTTAATGATTTGCTTATTTTTTGCTTGTTTTGAGTGTTTGCTTATTCTATCATTTATTGAGAGAGGGGTGATAAAATCTCTCACTGAAAGTATGACTTCATTTCTTTCTTCAGTTTTTGCTGTATACATTTTGAGGCTAGGTTATTAGGGTGAATGCAAATTTAGAATTCTTATATCTTCTGGTAAACTTAACCTTTATCTCATAATAAAGTTTTTCTATTTATCTCTAGCAATACTTTCTGCTTTAACCACTAATTTAATATTAATATAGCTACACCTTCTTTCTTCTGGTTAATACTTGCATCGATTTTGTTTGTTTGTTTGTTTTTGTTTTGTTTTTTTGAGACAGAGTCTCGCTCTGTCACCCAAGCTAGAGCGCAGTGGCGCTATCTCGGCTCACCGCAACCTCCACCCCCTGGGTTCCAGCGATTCTCCTGCCTCAACCTCCCCAGTAGCTGGAGCAGCTGGGATTACAGGCACTTGCCACCACGCCTGGCTAATTTTTGTATTTTTAGTAGAGACAGGGTTTCACCATGTTGGCCAGGCTGGTCTTGAACTCCTAACCTCAGGTGATCCGCCGGCTTCGGCCTCCCAAAGTGCTGGGATTACAGGCATGAGGCACTGCGCCCAGCCCATCCTTATTTAACCCTTTGCCTTTTCCTAACCAATTACTTTCAATCATTTTGAACATTTTATATGGCTTTCCTTAATTTTTAAATATTTCATTTACATATATTTTTGTTGATTTTTAAAAATTAAATTATAGACATTGTGACTATTCGAACCAATATATCTCAAAAAATAATTCCCTAATATCATCTAACACCGAGCCCACACTCAGCTAACTCCAGTTGTTTATAACGTGACTTTTAGAACTGTGTGTGTCGGCTGGGGGCGGTGGCGCGCGCCTGTAATCCCAGCACTTTGGGAGGCCGAGGTGGGCGGATCATGAGGTCAGGAGTTCAAGATCTGCCTGGCCAATATGGTGAAACTCCATCTCTACTAAAAATACAAAAATTAGCCAGGCATGGTGGTGCACGCCTGTAGTCCCAGCTATTCCGGAGGCTAAGGCAGAGAACTGCTTGAACCCAGAAAGTGGAGGTTGCAGTGAGCCAAGATCATGCCACTATACTCCACCCTGGGCGACAGAGTGAGACTCCATCTCAAAAAAAGAAAGAAAGAAAGAAAAAAGAACTGTGTGTCATTGCATTTAACTGTATGGCTCTTAGTCTTTTAAAATATAAAATAAGCTAACTTAATTGATAAATTGTTATATCAGGAGTGACCATAGGAAATGAAACAGATATTTTAAAAATCACTTTTAAAAATATATAAGGAATATATTCAGTACATCCCCTTTAAAAGAAAAATCAGAAAGATACAGAAAGTGAAAATAAGAAAAGAAATTTTTTATGGCTTTTACCAATTGTGAGCATGACTACCTTCCTGATGCATTTATCTGTCTAGCTCCTTATCTGTCAATACTTTTACATGGTAAGACCATTCTGTATGTAATTCTGCATTTACTGTAGGCAGTTTCATATCTTGCTTTGTATCTTCAAAATTAATATGATTGTAATTTCTTTTTAAGAGACAGGGTCTCACTTTGTTGCCCAAGCTAGGCTGGAGTGCTGTGGCATGATCATAGTTCACTACAGCCTCAAACTCCTAGATTTAAGTGATCCTCCTGCTTCAGCCTTCCAAGTAGTTGGAACTATAGGTGCATACCACTGCACCCAGCTCATGAAAAAAAAAAAAATTTTATAGAATGGGATCATACCACTGCACCTAGCTCATGAAAAAAAAAAAATTTTATAGCATGGGATCACTTGCATTGTTGCCCAGGCTGGTCTCAAACTCCTGGCCTCAAGCTATCCTCCCACCTCAGCCTCCCAAAGCACTGGGATTACAGGCGTGAACATTTAGAGTTTTTTCCAATTGTAATAGTTAATAAAAATGAACACATTTTTGAAGAAATTTTAGTCTGCTTCACATTATAGCCTAATCCTAGACTCTGAAAAGTGGAATTTCTCCTTCCTTCCCCCCTTCCTTCCCCCCTTCCTCCCTCCCTCCCTCCCTCCCTCCCTTCCTTCCTTCCTTCCTTCCTTCCTTCCTTCCTTCTTCTTTCTTTTTGAGACAAAGTTTTGCTTTTGTTGCCCAGGCTGGAGTGCAATGGTGCAATCTTGGCTCACTGCCACCTCTGCCTGCCAGGTTCAAGCAATTTTCCTGCTTCAGCCTCCTGAGTAGCTGGGATTACAGGTGCCCGCCACCACGCCCAGCTGATTTTTGTATTTTTAGTAAAGATGGGGTTTCACCATGTTGGCCAGGCTGGTCTCCAACTCCTGACCTCAGGTGATCCACAAGCCTCGGTCTCCCAAAGTGCTGGGATTACAGACGTGATCCACTGTGCCCAGCAATGAAATTTCTTAAAGCAAAGGCTTAACCTCTTTTAAGGCTTTCCGGAAAATTGTTCCAAACTTTTAAAATTCCAGTGAGCTAAAGTTTACTACATTGAGATTGATGTCCTCGTCATAGCAGACACAGCCTATGAGGCTTCACGGATACTTGTTTTGGACACCTGTCGTGGAAGCTGAAGATGTCAGATACTTTCCCAGGATCTCTTGAAGTGGGGGCACTGCCCTGCGACCTGGGATAGACCAATCCAATTGGCTCCCTCCAGACTGCGGCAGAGGCTGTTTATACAAAGAGGCACAGTAGAGAATCCCTTTGGGGGATGCCTGTAGTGGCAGGAGCTGAGGGGTGCTGCATCTGATGCACAGAGCTGAGGTGGTGGCCATGAGGTCCAGCACTCAGCACTTGTGGCAGTGGTGTCCTCACCAGTAAGGGCTTGGGCATGATTTTGGCTCTGGCTGTGGCTGATTCTAGTTTTTCTTCTTCTTGCCCATTTACTGAGCCTGGTTGTCTAGCCTTTCCTGATCTTCTTTCAAGTCCCAGTATCCTACAATAAATTACTTTTCTATTAAAACTAGTCAGTTTGATTCTATTGCTTGCAAAGAAGAATGTGATGAATCTTCTATACAGGGATTCTTCTTCTGTGTAGCAAGGCCCATTTCAAATAGCAGGAGAACTGGCATGCTGAGGGAGTGCCAGGGCGATACAGAGAGCTCAGAGTGGTCACGTGTCAGGGCCGGGAGTTGGAAGAGCCCAGGTCAGTGAACTGCGACAATATTGGAATCTGAAGGTAAAAATAGCTTCTTAAGAAGTTAACATCAGCCAGGCGCAGTGGCTCATGCCTGTCATCCCAGCACTTTGGGAGGCCGAAGCCAGTGGATAACAAGGTCAGGAGATCGAGACCATTCTGGCTAACACGGTAAAACCCCATCTCTACTAAAAATACAAAAAATTAGCCGGGCATGATGGCATGCACCTGTGGTCTCAGCTACTTGGGAGGCTGAGGCAAGAGAATCACTTGAACCCAAGAGGCAGAGGTTGCAGTGAGCTGAGATTGGACCACTGCACTCTAGCCTGGGCGACAGAGCAAGACTCCATCTCAAAAAAAAAAAAAAAAAGTTAACATCTATGGCCAGCCACGCCTCCACAACTTTGGGAGGCTGAGGCAGGTGGATCACTTGAGGCCAGGAGTTTGAGACCAGCCTAGCCAACATGGTAAAACCCTATCTCTACTAAGAAGGCAAAATTATCTGGGCATGGTAGTGCATGCCTGTAGAACCAGCTACTTGGGAGGCTGAGGTAGGAGAATCGCTTGGACCCAGGAGGTAGAGGATGCAGTCAGCTGAGGTTGTACCACAGCACTCCAACCTGGACAACAGAATGAGACTCTATCTCAAAAAAAAAAATAAAAAGTTTGATTCTTGGGCATGCAGTCTGTATGGTAACAGAGTGATTTGGGGGCTGATTCAGGAGTCCAGCTCTTGTAAATGTGTTACTAGAAACCAGGTCTGGTAAGGTGCCTAAACATTAAGCGTCTGAATGGACAAGAAGCCAGGCAGCCTAGGTTGGAGACGGGTGTTGGGTCTGAGACTATACATGGGGCAGGGGGCAGTGGTAGATGGAGCTGTGCCGACGTGGAGTGGAAGCTAACAACCACCAGGGAAGGCCATGGCAACCACTTAGGAATTTCTTTTTGGCCATTTCTTCAGAACCAGTTTCCAAGTAATATGACAAAAGCAGCCTCATAATGTAAGAGGTAAACTCTGTTTCTGACCAAAAACAGTACTACTCAGTTTGATATCTTTCCCGTAGGGATGGGCTTTGGTAAATTGAGACCATTTCAAAAACCCAGAAAACCAAGTGTGTAACCACTAGGGACATTTAAAAGAACATCGCCAGCTTTAAAGGCGATCTTTAGAATAGCTATTTATTTAGGCTTTGTGTGTTTCCAAAGTTAACCAGTGTTTCACATCAGCTATCTTCTTGAACCCTCTCAACAACCTGAAAGGTAGGTATTAGTAACCCCATTTCATGGATGAAAGAACAGACTGAGAAGTTAATTATCAGATTAGATTGTAAATGAGTGGTAAAGCAAGAATTCAAACCCAGATCTGCTTCACTTTTCTGTAGGCAGTGTTTAAGAAGGATCCAGAAATACTTCAAGCGATGCCAGTGGTAGTGTTGCCTCCTCAGAAGACTGCTTTCAGGGGAACAGTATACCTCTGCCCTGTAAATTCTGGATGGTAAATATGACAAAACTCTCTCCTTGACCCAGCTCTAGTGAGACTGCTCTAAGCCCTCTTCTCAACATGGCTCAAGCGTGGGCTTCAGTGTACATTTGGTTGGGCCTGCATTGCTCAGTTTTAGCAAGAGTCCAGTTAAGTTAAAGAGAATCTCACACCTTTGATATCAGATTCTTCCATATCTGATCAAATTCCTCATCCCCTACCTTCAATATCTGATCATTCTGCCCTGTCTGCACCAAGAATCTCCCCTCACCCTTGGTGTCTCCTTTTAGTAATTTTCCATCCACCAGTCTCTCCCCACTCTTCAAGCCTACTCCTTGCTGTAACTCCCTACCCCTCCTTGTCTTATTTGCAACTGAATTCTGTTCTACACTGAGGTCTCTTTTTCCTGATTGCAATAGTTCCTGAATAAAATCTGTTTTTACTGCTTATCCACTGGCTAGCTCTGGTTTTCTTTACCAGAAGTCACAGTTAACACATGTGAAAACCCATTTGCAAAACAAATCCACGGGACTCAGTCCATGTGCTGTGAAGTCTTTGATCAAGGACTTAAAAACAATGAAAAGTAATAAACAGATCTGAATACAATTCAGGTAATAAAACACTTTCATTGGTTTTCATACTCAGCAAAAGTATTTTTACTGATTAAAAGATAAATAATCCTCACTCTACTAACTCAATGACACATTGAAACATTAGCCTAACTTGTGCACCTTTCAGCGAAGCTACTCTCTTTGCGTAGGCACAGCTCTTTCAGCCAAGGTACAGGAGAGCAAACCCACGCATGAATTCCTTTCATCTCAGGGCATTTCTTTCTGTGGTGTCTTTGTGAAGGAATGCACACTCACAACAGCTGAAAATCTAACTCTCTAGATTTCATTTAGCTAACATTAGGCCAGTCTTTGGACTGAAGGTAATGCCTACATATAGGAGGAAGGGAGAGGAATCTCTGAATTGCAACCCTTTTAGACTCCCTCCATGATGAAGCAGAGAGGGGAGGACTATTGTTTGGGAGATGTGTGTGGGAGGTGAAGATTTCAGATTTTCTTTAAAATAGTAGTTGGCTGCACAGGCAGCAGCAAAGCCGACCTGTACATTGCGGGATTGTCTCTGTGTTAAGAGGTCTGGCCAAGCTGGGGGGCCTCAGCAGGGGATTGCTCAGTTGATCAAGTCTTAATTTGTCTTTTCCACTCTGGGTGGTGCTGTCTGTCCCTTTCATCTCCCAATCACCGACATAGGGGGAGATGTTGAGGGCAGTGCTGTGTTATCTTAAGGTTTCCTTCAAGAAAGCAAAACCAAACAAACAAGCAAACATGTTTTGCTTCCCAACTGTGCACCCCTAGGGGAGATTCAAAGGCTCTTCTGAACCAGACAGGTGCTGATGTCTCTGCTGCCATTTGGATGTGGGTTTGGCGAGGGTGGCAGGAGTGAAGGGAAAGCAGAGGGAAGAGTTAGGCAGAGGGATCTCGATTGCCATTTCTTCCTGTTGCAGTTGCTTCAGACGGTTCAGCTTCCAGCCAGACAGTTCCTAATGGACCTGCACAGCATGCAAAAAAACCCTTCTTTGTAAAAATAACTCCTTTGATTTCTCCCAGCCTTGGGCCCTGTTTAGTTAGGGGCAATGACCAGGAGGCAAGTCGTTCAGGGCCTTGCTGGTAGAGTAAGGGGGAGATCGCCCATGGCTTCCCCAGCTGCACTGCCTGTGGAGCAAAGGGTTCAGAAGCAGAGAATTTTTAAAAATATAATAATAATAAAAAGAATGAAAGAAAGAAGCCCTCTTTGAAAATCCTTACTGTTTCCCACTATCTCCTACAGCGATTGCCCTTTCATTAGTGTGGAAATCCAACAATGTGGAAATCGAGTTTTGGTTTTTTTTTTTTTGCTTTGATATCAGCCTAACCCTTGAGGCTAAACTTGTGGTAAGCCACCTGTCCACGTTAGCTAAAATAAAGTTGTAGCTGGAATCACCACCTAGTCCTTTAGCTGTTGTACATTTTCATGTTTATCCTTTGAGGCCTGAGACAATAACCACATATTGCTTTATTATTCAGGATCCCCTGGGTTGCTGGCAACCGAAACCCAAATTGAATTTGTTTAAGAATAAGGGAGGAATGTATTGGGAGAATATTGGGATATTTTAAGTAACTGAAGGAGGGGTCAAGAGGTCAATCTATGAGAAAGACAAGGAACCAGGCAGAAATTTAACAATAAAATGAAATAAAACCGGAACCAGGACTCCCAAGTGCCCCCTGGATTCCTTCTCTCTCTGTCTGCAGCTCTATCCCTCCTGGTATCCAGGGCTTTCTCTCTCATTGTAGATCCGAGTCTCACATACTGTGGGTTAAAACACCAAAGAGGGGCTGATTTTATTTCTTTTTTTCTTTTCTTTTCTCTTTTTTTTTGAGATGGAGTCTTGCTCTGTCGCCCAGGCTGGAGTGCAGTGGCGCCATCTCAGCTCACTGCAAGCTCTGCCTCCCGGGTTCACGCCATTCTCCTGCCTCAGCCTCCCGAGTAGCTGGGACTACAGGCGCCCGCCACCTCGCCCGGCTAGTTTTTTGTATTTTTAGTAGACACGGGGTTTCACCGTGTTAGCCAGGACGGTCTCGATCTCCTGACCTTGTGATCCACCCGCCTCGGCCTCCCAAAGCGCTGGGATTACAGGCGTGAGCCACCGCGCCCGGCCCTGATTTTGTTTCTTAATTCTAGATAGAAAAGTCTTGGGGAAGGCTCTGACTGTGTGGGCCCCAGCCGGGTCCAGGCAACTCTAGTTTGGCGGAGGCGGGGTCATATAAGAACATGGCTACACTCCCCCCATCCCGTGAACCACTTGTTTATAGGGCGGAAAGGAGCAATTCCAGAAAGGGGGCTTCTTTCTTGGAAGGATGGGTTCTAATCAAAGCAAGCAGCAGCCATTTACTAAACATACATAAC